AAAAACATGTTTTGAAACTTTTGCTGTTGACAACCATCTCAGTTCTGTGTGAAATAGCAGAGCACTGTTTGGCGTATCCAATTTGTTGTATAGTTGGAAAAACAGTGGACTGTTTAAAGTGCTCGCCTTTACAAAATTGACAGAATTTATGACCCTTTTCATTACGTCTTGTAACTCTTGTGGCAGCGTCTTCGTTGCTAATATTTGCTGATGAATCATACAGTGAGTTCTGACGACTTTTGGTGACTCATTTAGTACCGAACATTGAAATCCAGATCAACATCCTAGCATAGCTAGAGCACCATCTGTGCAAACACCAAAAACCTTTTCCCAAGAGATCTTACGCTCTTTCAGAAATGAACCAACTATGTCAAATACATCACGGGCAGTAGTTGTCATTTCAAGAGGTTTGCAAAAAAACTCATCTTTAACATCGCCATCATTAATATACCTCACATAAACCAGTAATTGTGAAGTTTGCAATGTCTGTAGATTCATCAAGCTGGATGCTAAATATTGGAAGTGGACCAGATTTAATTTCCTGGATTACCTGATCCAGAATATCAGCAGACATATAATCTATTCTTCTTTGGACAGTGTCCTTACATAAGGAAATTGCACTCAACTTCATAACAAATTCGTCTACAGGGATTTGAGAGAGGGTTACCCTGTGGAGGGAGGTGGCAGGAAGGGATCCTTAGAACATTTTGAATGGGCCCATGTAAAGATATTACCTACTAAAATGAGAATAAAATTAGGTGCATAAGAATCCAGGACTTAGGCGGGGACATGGTCATGGGGGACACAGGCTAAGATTTCCCATTTGTAATTTTTGGATTCAGAGCCCTGTCTGGATGTTTTAAGGTCTAGACCCATGAGAATATGGAGTCCAGACCTTATTGCCCCGAGATTGGGGGTGAAGCTCCAGGAATGAGGGGACAGGGCCAATTTCTGAAAACTGGCAATTTTAGGTGGGCTTCAAACACCGAAATGAAGCAGTGCACTTAACCAGGAGGGGAAATCTGGGCAAATGGCTGGTGGGTTTGCATCATGTTCACATACATACACACCCTGGTTCTAGAATTCTCACAGGGAGGCTCGGAGGGCTGGGACCTAGCTTTGTGACTGTGAAGGGAGGCTGGGCTGGCAGCCAAGGGCTTTACAGAAACACAGTTTGGCAGCCAACACTTAGTTGCCCAGTGAGGCAAGGAGTCAGCCCAGAAACGCTAGAAACTTCCGAAGCTCCTTAAATTGGTTGACCTCCCCTAGATAACCGCTTTAGAAGCAGCGGGGTAGCCCTAAGGCCTGAGCTGCCAGCTCCTGTGATTGGTGGGTCCCTTGGTGTGGCCCAGGGTCCATAGTGAAGGTTACATCTGCAATCCCTCAAGGACCTTGTGCCCTACTCTGGGCCCTCCTCCCGCCTCTACCTCCAGCACCTCCCAACTATGGGTGGAGCTGACCTCCAAGATACCTGCCCACATCATTGCTCCAGGAAGGGGTTTCACAATTTATCAAGACCTGAGTACAGGCACAGGCCCCTTACCTTGATCCTTCCCCGCCCTCCACGCCCAAGACTGTGAGATGTCCTGCCAGGCTCCACGGCTGAGGCGATATGTAGGACATCTGGTGAATCCCTTCACCTCACAGATGGGGTAAACTGAGGCCCAGAGGGGGAGCAGAGCAGGCCAACTCCAATTTCTCAAGGGATGCAGGCAGAAGACTGAGGGGAGTTGGGTGGAGGTATGGGGTCTCAGCTGAGGCTGCTGTAAGGGGCAGTGGGGTCTATGCAAAGAAAGCATGACTGGGGAGGTGGTAGGCCCAGGGCAGAGCCTGCATTGCTGGAGCTTCTGGTTCCAAGATGAGAACTGGGTGCAGCCTCCTCTCCATGCCAAGATGCTAGGGGGCACAGGAAGAGAAACCCTACCTCACAAAACCTGGGCTGAAGCCGAGGGACTTTGGTGTCATGTACTGGGTGGCCTCAGAAAAGCATCCCTAGAAGGACACAGCATGGGACTCAGTGGGGAGATGGGGGACAGGCATTCCATGCAGAAGAAGCAGCACACACAAGGTGAGGTGCAAGGTTGCCAGGGCCTGCAAACAGTGGCTATGAGGACTGTCATTTTATATTTTATATTGTAATCTTCATCAGCAGATGACATGGTACCACTGGGGCAATGGAAGGGAGGTGGCAGTCTGTGTCCCTAACCCCATCTGTTCCACACCTTACTTTGAGGTGTTTGGAAAAGAGTTATGCTGCCATTCTGAAGGCTGACCATAGCCTTGTGGGCCCTGGGGCAACCACTGGAGTTTGATGGACAGGCTGCTAGGTGGGCAGTGCCCATGCTTTGGAGGAAATGGAAGTAGCCAGAGGGTGACTGGAGTGAGGTACAGGACTGGCTATTAGCTCCAGGGAACTTGGGAGCATGGTGGGCAGGGCCATGACTGTGGGTCCATTTTTCTTTTCCAAGGAGCCACTGCCTTGCAGATACCTAGGCTGGTTAGAGCTTGACGCTTCCAGGTTCGTGGTGGGCAGGGGACCAAGCTCCACTCCCGACTCCTGTGAGTTCCTCCAGCCTTCAACACAGTAGGCACCCAGCCTGCCCCACCCCATCTGCCTCCTTGGCTCTCAAAGACCCCAACTTTAGCAGGGAAGACATCCATTGCTCATGTATGGTCACAGGCAAAAACCCTAGATGGGGATAGTGGGGGTGAATGTATGGCAACGCTCTGGGAGATAGCCTGCCCAGCAGCGCCTCACCCAGTGAACAAAGGTCAGTGTCCTCAACTGAAATGAGGGAGTTTGACTAGATACTCTGACACTCGCACACCTTCTCCTATATGACCACCATGTATGACGCAGGTTGAGAGGTCAAGGCCAAGGGCCAGGTGAAATGGGGCCTGAAGCAGAGGAAAGTGGTCCTGTGTTAGGAACTGGGGGGGGGGGGGGGGCACACGGGCACACGGAGGCAATGTAACAAAGGCCAGGGCTGAGGCACAGGTAGGAGCCCAATAAGTGGCAGGTGCTTAGATGTGAGAGGCCCCAGCCCACAAGGTAGGCCGAGTGGGACCTCTGGCTGCAGCTGGGGCTGTGCTCCCCACCCCATGAAGAGACAGATGTGAGGCTCCACGGCCCTTTCATGGAGGACAGAATGAGTCTGAGGTAAGCTGGAGAAAGCCCCTCACAGATCTTTGTGGAAGAGGAGAGACCCCTCCCAAAGATGGGCCACACTCTTTTTGACTCCAAGCTGATTCTCCTTTCTCATTGCTTTTCTGGAAGTAAGTCCTTGCTGCCCTGGGGCGAGCTGACCGAGGCTGAGTGGAGAGAGCAACCCCCTCCCCCCAAATCAGGACATGGACTGAGAAGCAACAATCCTCAGGCATGCCGATTAGCAAGCTGGCAAGGGTGGGCTTCCCCCAAGAACAGACTCTGCCAAGACTGCTGCCGTGGAATAGGAGACGGAGGATCCATGTGGAAAGTACCAACTAATGGCTCAGCAGCCCTGGGCTTGGGCTGTTCTGGAGTTGTCATAATCAGAGGTATGACTTGTCATAATCAAGTCATACTTGTCCTCTGCTTCAAGCCTGGGCTGGGTACCTGGAGCTTCTTGTTCATGCCTGCTGGATGTTCAGTGACACCATACAGTTGATCCAGGTGCAAGAGCAGTGGGTGCAGCATGGGCTGGGCCACTGGCAGCCTTCCCAAGGAAGGAGCTTCTCACTGCCTGCGGCTCAGAGGCAGGCAGGCCTGCTCCTCACTCTCAACATCAGAAGCGAAGTAACAGGCTCCAAAGGCTTGGCCCAGGCAGCAACCTTTTTCCCTAGAGGCCCTCAGCTTCCAAAAGCAAATTCATTTAAATTCCGTGGAATTTGTCCTGGCCAGTGTGGCTCAGTGGTCAGAGCATGGGCCTGTGCACTAAAGGGGCGCAAGTTGGATCCCTGGCTTTGGTCAAGGCATGTGCAGAAGGCAACCAACCGATCAATGTGTCTCTCACACATCAATGTCTCTCCCTCCCTCCATCCCTTCTACTCTCTCTTAAAAATTGCGTGGAATTTTAAAACTTATCTTCCATCTAGGATGTTACTGCCTAAATAGAGGCTAAAGAAGGGCAGTGAGTCTCAAGGGCTCAGGGTCAGCAGGAGTCCAGAGTTGAGGCTCCACCTTTGCCAAGCCACCAGGAATGGTGTTTCTTCACCTGGAGGGAGGAGTCCCTTCTCTGTGCAAGTGCCATAATTATCCCACACAGCAGGCAGTGAAAGCTTGAGCTGGCCCTGGCCCACTAGCACCATCTTCAGGCATGTGAATTCCTAGTGCTAGTGGCTGGCCTAGCTTGGCATCTCCTATCAGGGTACATGGAGACACACACATTCTGACCCAAGGCAACTGGCCTGGGCAAGGCTCTGGAAAGATGGGCAGCACGACATCCAAGGCCCCTGTGGTCCAGGTCCAGGTGCTGAATTGCCCACTGTAGACCTATCACCACCCCCACAAGGGGGTGGATGCTGGGCCAGCAAACCCGTTATATTGGGCCTTGATACCAATTCCCAAAGATCCAGAACAATGGGATTTTCCAGGTCAAGAAACTGAGGAACCAGCCTAACAGAGAATGACCTGGGGTGGAGAAGGCTTGTTCACCTGGACGATGGAGGAAAGTGGAGCTGAGAGAAAGGTCCAACCCCAGGCCAATCAGATCCCAACCCCTCCCCTTCCCCTCTTCCCTGCCAGTCAGAGCCAGTCAGACCCTGCCCCTGAGGAATAGATTCAACTTGAGCCATAAAATGGCCCTATGAGGCTCCCATTCAAGTTTGATTCCTGGGTCTGTGGCCCCAGGCAGGATGCCAACCAAAACTGGGTCTTCTGCTAGAGAAGCAGGTGGGAAAGGCTGGTCAAAAGGTACCCAGCAGATGATTCCGAGGGGGCACCTCTCTGAGCCTGGGTTGCCCAGTCACTGTCCCCTCCCAGAGATGATTCCACTACAAGCCAAGGAAGTCCAAGGCAGCCGAAGTCTCCAAACCGTTTATTTCTCCCAATTAGGAGGTTGGAGTCGCTGGGGCTAGGCAGGAAAATACTGCCGGCAGCAGCGGGATCTGGTGCCCGTGGGTTGGGGTGCCGAGGTCCTCAGGCGAAGGTGGAGCCGTTCCAGCCCACGTAGGCCGCATTCATGTCGTAGTAGTTGATGTAGATCCTGCGTGGGGGGGGGGGGGGCGAGGGAAACAGTGCTGAGCGGGCTGCGCGGTCGTGCGCGGAGAGCTGCGCGCCCAGCGCTCCCCCTCCCCCCGGCACCCGCTCCCCCGCACCTGTCCGGGCTGATGCGCAGGCGCTCGGCCAGCAGGCCGCACAGCAGCTTGCTGTAGGAGCGGTTCTGCGTGTTGCCGATCTTGCCGATGCTGTGCAGGCTGCAGAGCGCGCAGGGCTCGCTGGAGCCGCCAAAAGCCATGAGCTGGTCTGGAACCACGTGCACCGCGATGTACTTCGGGGGGAAGGGGGCGGTCAGAAAACCTGAGCGACTTTGCCGGCCCCGGGCGCCCCCAGTCCCTTCCCCACCGGGAGTCGCCTGCCCACCACCCCCCGCCCCACCTCGGCCGACAGGCACCCCCTCTTCCTGTTCCCTCCCGACAAACCTGGGCAGGCTTGCCCGTGGCCTGGGCCAGCTGCTGGGTGAGCTCGGAGAGGAGCCCGTCAGGCACCGAGGCGCGGGGCACGTTGGTGTTCACCACGAACATCGGCATGTCGGCGGAAGGACGGCGAGGACGGGGGCACAGGAACTTCCACGCGCGCGCCGCTGCAGCCTGGAAACCTGAGCTACGTGACCGCCGCCCAGTTCCGCCCAGCGAGGCTGCGGCTCCGCCTCCCGTGACGCACCGCGGCGGAGGCCCCGCCCCAGTGAGTCCGCGGCTCGCGCGTGATTGGTGACGTCGCACGGGCGGGGGCCGCCGGCGGGACTCGGAGGGGGTCCGGCGCCTGTTCCCCCGCGGAGGGCCCTGGCTTCGCGCACCTTCTCAAGGCCCTTCTCCAGGTGGCAGCGGGAAGTCTGCCTGTCCCTCGTGTCTTTGTCGGTCCTTTCAGCCACCGATGTTCACTGTGTCCCGGAGCTGGGGATACACCATTAATAGGACATGTGGCCCCTGGACCTCCGGGGCCCGGAGCCGGCCAAGTAGATGAAGTCCCACCTCATTCCATCACGCACTGAGCCCTTGTGTGTCCTGAGTCTCCCGGGCCACAAATCCCCAACATCTACAGTCGTGTGTGTGTGTGTGTGTGTGTGTGTGTGTGAGAGAGAGAGAGAGAGAGAGAGAAGAGAGAGAGTCATTGCTGCAGGTGGGAGCAGAGCTGCCACAACAGTCACCATCCAGGTGCCTTCCCTGTACCTTCAGGGTGGGTGAGGATGCTGGGAGGCTCCAAGGGGAGGGGCAGGGAGAGGGAGTAGCAGGTGAGGCCCTGACAGAGCTCCTCGTGCCAAAAAGAGCAACTAGAACTCAAGCCCACCCCCAAACTACAGGTCCTCAGGGCAACTTCTCTGCAGCTCTGGGAACTCCAGCTCCCCAGGGAAGTCCCACCCTAGTCAGGCCCTCTAGGGTGCTCTCCCAGAAAGCTCCTGGTGAATCCTCTGCCTCTTCTGCTGTCAGCTCAGCAGGCATCTAGTGGGCACCAAGCACGCCAGACTAAATACTGGCTGAATAAATGAATGAAGATACCCACCAGACAGCAGGAAGAGGACAGGGCAGCAACGGAATTGGGGCCCTGGCCATACTGAGAGCCAGGGATAAGCCTGCAAGCCCTGTCATCACTGGGCAGAAGGGCCTGTGGCTAAGTGACCACCCCACTTCCACTCTGAGGAGTGCCCCAGTCAGGGTATTGTGCTGGGGAATGGATCTCTCTCAAGTGCTAGAGGGGGCATGTTGTATTTGGCCAAGTCCTCAAACTCTCCAGGAAGGTCCTATCCTTGGTCTCTGGCAGATGCAATGGGTTCCGATGGAACAGCACAAACTGACCTTGATGATAGCCACTGATGCACTGATTAATGCTCTCTATGCCATGTCTCCAGCCCAGGGCAGTCTTCTGAGCCCCAGCAGCCAACTCAGCTCTTCCTGCTCTATGTCCAAATCTAAGAGCATTACTTTTCTTCCCACTCTTAATTGCCTGCCCGTGAAATGTACCTCCCTCCCCTGTTCCCCTTTATCCTCACTTCTCTCCACCACCTCACCACCACCAAGGTAGCTGGCATTGCCTTTGGCCTGGCATGGACTCTTGGGGGACAAGCCAATTTCCCCAACTCTAGCAGCAGATCTGACGATATGACTTGCCTTCCCAGTGAAATGTGAACAGAAGTGACATGAGTGACTCTAGGCAGAAGATTCAAAAGCCTGCACCTGGTTTGCTGCTCTCTGAGATAGTGGAAGTAGGTGACAAGGTGAAACTTGGCCAGCAAACACCCAGGATGCCCCTGAAGGTGAGCCACAGCCATTTTCAGTAGTGTAGGGGATCCTCCCCTCATCAGGACAGCCTCTAAGCCACTTGCCATCTGCTCTCTTACCCTCCCCCAACTTGTTTCCAATAGCAGTGAGCATCGATTTTCTAAGGAGACGGCAGTCCTAGCTGGTTTGGCTTAGCGGCTGGAGCATTGGCCTGTGGACCAGAGAGTCCCAGGTTCGGTTCCCGCTAGGGGCATGTACAATCAATCAATCAATCTATGCCCTGGCCAGTTTGGCTCAGCCATTAGAGAGTCAGCCTGCAGTCCAAAGGAGGCGGCACTATGATTCCCAGTGTCCCCTCTTACTAGCTTGGATACTTGGCTGACCTCTCTGAGCCTCAATTTCCTCACCTGTAATTTGGGGATGTCAGTAATTTTCACTTTACAGAAGGGTGGTGTGAGGACCTAGTGGTCTAAATACTGGTGATAGTCTTCTCTGACATTAGAGGTAGTACGGTCACAGTGCCGTGGTGATTTCCTCACCCCACGGCTTGTTCTCTGGATCTTGTGCACTGCCCTTCCATGACATGCTCCTGGCTCCTGGCTTGAGCATTGGTCCTGAAATTCAGTTTGCTCACACTTTCCCTCACCTGGCCAACCTGACTTGGGCTCAGTTCCTTGGGAAAGCCCCCAGAACTCCTGGCTCTATCAGGTCCTGTAATGTGCCCCGCCTGTCCTTCCAGGCCATCACCATTTATATTTTTGAGTTAATCTTCCTTCCTAGGGGGTAAACTCCATGAAACTCTCTCTTTTTGGCCATTGCTGTCTGCCTGTCTCCTGACCCTGAACCTCGGTGATAGTCAGAGAGCCTCCAAAGATGTCTACGCTGTAATCCCTGGAATCTGAGAATATGTCACCTGTATGGCAAAAGGCACTTCGAGGATGTAATTAGGGTTACAGGATGTAATTAGGGAGATTACTTTGGATTATCTAGGTGGGTCCAATGTAATCACACGAGCTCTTATATATATATATATATATATATATATATATATATATATATTTTTATCCTCACCCGAGGATATTTTTCCATTCTTTGTACAGATAGAATGGGAGGGAGAGAGAGGAAGGGAGAGAGAGAAACATCGACGTGAAGGAACACATCGAGTGGCTGCCACCCGCACGACCAACCAGGGCCGGGGACAAACTGCAACCGAAGTACGCGCCCTTAGCGGGAACCAAACCCGGGTCTCTCCAGACCGCAGGCCGACACTCTAACCTCTGAGCCAAACCGGCCAGGGCCACACGAGCTCTTAAAAGCAGAGAATTTTCTCCAGGTGGTCAGAGGGATGCGGCAGAAGGGGAAGTCAGACACAAAAAGAAGAAGGACTCCATGTGCTATTACTGGCTTTGACGATGCAGTGGGCCAGGGGCCTCAGTTGTACAACTGCAAGGAACTGAATTCTGCCAACAACCTGAATGAACATGGAGATGGGTTCTTCCCTAGCTGACCTGAAGCACCTTGACGTCAGCCATGTGAGACTTGAAGCAGAAGACCCAGCATGCTGGACATCTGACCCACAGAAACTGTGAGAAAATAAATGTGTATCATATTAAGCTGCTAAACTTGTGGTGATTTGTTCTAGGAGCAATAGAAAAGTAGTACATGTGGCATCTCTAGGGTTCAAAAATCATCTGCGGAACAACAGGACACGTGCACCAGGAGGCTTTGGCGGGCATGGCTGCTGCCCTGCCGAAATCCTCTCCCCCTTCCTCCTCACTGACAGAATCCCAGTTCTTTTGGCTAGAACATTCGCTGCTCCAGAGCCCCGGAAACCAGGTGAGGCCCTGCGAGGAAGCTGTGGCTCATGAGATGGATGGGATTTACAGGGAAGCAGCTGCTTTGCTTATGGAGGTGCCACCCTACCAACCTCCTACTGCCCCTGTCTGGAACTTGGACACAACAACCTCTGGTTGTGAAGCAGCTGTTGGGCAACCATGAGATGGAAAAACATAGGCAAAGGAGTGGGAAGTGGCAACTCAGGAGAGCCTAGGGCTCCGCCGGCTCCGCCCAGCTCCTGCAGCTGCCGTTAGTTAAAGGAGAGAATTAAGCCCCTCTCTGTTCAAAGCACTGCTTGTCAAAGTTTCAGCCCCAGTGCAACTGGGGCTGCTGCAGAGCACTTCTTTTTTTGTTTAATCCTCACCCGCGGATATTTTTTCCATTGATTTTTAGAATGGAGTGGGTAGGGGGAGAGAGAGACATGGATGTGAGAGAGACACATGGATTGGTTGCCTCTCACACATGCCCCAACTGGGGCCAGGGATTGAACCTGCAACTGAGGTACATGCCTTTGACCGGGAATCAAACCCAAGACCCTTTAGTGCACGGGCTGACTCTCTAACCACTTAGCCACACCGGCCAGGGCTGCAGAGCACTTGAGTGTCACATCCTGTGGGTAGGGGCTGCCAGGCGGAGAAGGGAGTGGGAAGAAAACCTCACCATGTAGGGATATGTCAGCTGGGTGAGGAGGACTGTGGCCCACAGTGAGTACCCAGAAGACCCTGTAAGGGGGCAGCTGGCCCTTGGGTTGAACATCTTCAAGGGCAGGACCCAAGCTGCCCATGCTGGAGGGAGGTCATGGTGGGGTCGGCCTACCAGCTCCCCCAAGGGGTTACCCACTCTTCCTTTAGCTGTATCTCCCTGATGTGGTCCTGGTCATCCATCCATGTCCCTTCTTTCACTCCACTGCCCCTCCCCACCCACATCACTCCTTCCTGCCTAAACAACCCAGCTGGTCCCAGCCCCTGACTGTCCCCCACTCACTAGGCCCTGTGCCCTTGTTCACTGAATGTGGTAAAAGTCACAGAAAAAATACCCCATTGCCCGCCCTGGCCGGTTTGGCTCAGCGGTTAGAGCGTCGGCCTGCGGTCCAGAGACCCAGGTTCGGTTCCCGCTAAGGGCACGTACCTGGGTTGCAGTTTGTCCCCGGCCCTGGTTGGTTTGTGCGGGTGGCAGCCACTCGATGTGTCCCTTTCACGTCGATATTTCTCTCTCTCTCTCCCTCCCATTCTATCTGAACAAAAAATGGAAAAATGTCTTCCAGTGAGAATAAAAAAAAATTTTTTTAAATACCCCATTGCTCAGCTGGTGTGGCTCAGTGGTTGAGCGTCAACCCATGCACCAAGAGGTCACTGGTTCAATTCCTGGTCAGGGCTCATGCCCAGGTTGTGGGCTCGATCCCCAGTGGGGAGCATGCAGGAGGCGGCTGATCAGTGTTCTCTCTCATCGATGTTTCTATTTCTCCCTCTCCCTTCTTCTCTCTCTAAAAATCAATAAAGAAAGGGGGGAAAAAAAGAAGAAAAATACCCCATCCTCCTCCAGTCATAGTGGAAGAAGACCTGGGGGGTCATCACCCCCACTGGTGACCCCCCACCCAGCTGTACCTGAAGTGTCTTCCAGGAGACCACCACACTGAAGAGGAATGGTTTAGGCTTGGTGGGGAGCCGGGGGTCATGGCCAGCAGGGTGATCTGGACTGAGTCACTTAAACTCTCAGCTTCATTTTCATCATCTCAAATTGGGGGTGGCAATTCCTTTCCCATAGACTTGTGTGAAGATTACATGAGACAACAGGTGCTCAGTAGATGCTACCTGATCGTACCGCATTGTAACCAGGTGTCCTGGATCAGGAAATGGGCTAACAGGATTGAACCCTAATGGTGAGTATCTGGGCAGAGCAGGTGACTTTCCTTCCCTGGTGGCCAGGTCCCGTCCCCATCTACTCCTCCTCTCGATGGGTCCCACCAAGGCTGAGGCCAGGCTGCTCAGGAGCCCCAGGAGCACAGGACGTGACAGCCCAGCTCAAACTCACATGGACGAGAGTCATGAGCAGCTCCCGGCAACCTCTCCCAAAGGTGGTGGACTTGGAGCTTCTTGAAAATCCTCACCTCCTGGAGCACTGAGGAGCTATAAGCATGCACGTCGGCAGGGGTTGGGGGACCTCAGAGAGCGTGGGGACACTGGTCACTGGAGTGATATGGGAAGAGACCACTGGAGGTCTGGCTCCCATGAGCATAGGATAAATTCCCTAGCCTGGCCTTCAGGCCCTCCACGTGCGTCTCAGAGCCCCTCTCCCCCATGAAGTCCAGGTGGATGCTGGCCTTCCCCTCCTGCACCTCCCCCTTGTCCGGAAACCCATCCATCTCTAGGTCTCCTCACCCGGGTCCTCTGTGGATGCATTTTCATGGCCTGCCTCCAAAGAAAGCCATGTGTGTGTGTGTGTGTGTGTGTGTGTGTGTGTGTGTGTACATGCAGGGCCTGGAGCCCTGTCTCCTTCCACTCTGTGTCCACCCTCTCCTAGCTATCAGCCTCCTTCCCCAGCCACCCTGAGCCAAATATGGCTAAATAGGCAAAAAGTTGACATTTGCTGGAATGTCATTCTACTGCTAGTGCCATGGGGATGGGACCTGGGCTCCCCCTTAGTGTCTTTGTCTCTGAGTGTCTGGTTCTCTCTAACCTTCGGCAAGTTCCTGCTGCATGAAGAATGGAGCCAGGGACCCGGTAGGACACACCCTCGTCGCCCACAGGCTCTGTGGCGAGGACCCCTGGGCTCCCTGTGTGTCTCTGCTGAACCTGAGCGTGGCCGCTTGGCCTCCGTGTCCTCCACACCCGTCTTCATCCTGCCCTGAGAGCACTGGCTCCACCGTTAATTCACAGTGTCACCCTGAACCTCTCAGGGTGGCCTCTGGGAATGGGGATCAGGTGACAAAACGTCCAGGGCAAGGGGAGGCAGTGTGGTGCAGTGGTCACGACCACCAGGCTCAATCCTAGCCTGGGCATGTGTGACCTTGGACAAGCCGCTGCTTCATGTGCTTCAGCTTCTGTGTAAAAGGTGACAATAAAAAGTCTTATTTCATGGGACCCTTGTTAGGGTTAAAGGGGCCAATGCTTGTGAAGCACTCAGAACGTCCTCACAGACAGAAAACCCCCTACAAGCATCGGCTCTGCATGGCATTGTTGATGTTGTTGAAAACTGTTCCAGTGACTGTCTGCTTACCACCCTGGGCACTGCCTAGGACAGGGACTGGGCTGGGTGCCTCAGGACACAGTGGCCCTGAGAGAAGATGAGCAACTCGAAGGGTCCGTGGATGATTCAGCTGAGGCACAGGGAGGGCACCCGATGTGTGTCCCAGCGAGGCGGGGCAAGAACCTCGGGGTCTGAAGGAGTCGGGCATGAGAGCAAATGCAGGACTGGCCGCAGCCCTTGGAGGCTGCACAACCCGACCCTCTGGCGCGCTGTGTGGAGCCAGGCAACCACTCGACCACTGTCTGCTGGCCCAGCCAGAGGCTGGGGCCCTGGTAGCAGGACTGGGAAGACTCACAGTCCAGCAAGCAAGGGAGGATTTGGGACATCTGGAGAGGGAGCTGCCGGGTGCTCTGGGTGGTGGGAAGAGGCCACACTGGGTCTGGGGTCTGGATTCGTGGGCTGAGCTTGGAGCATTTGGGTATGGGGGACAGCATTTCAGGGGGATTTGCGGCTCGATCGGGACCAGCAGACAAGGACATGATGGTCTGGCTGGGAGTCCAGGCTGGTGGGACACCCCCTCCATCAAGAATGGTCTGAGGACCTAAGGTCAGGGACTCATCTACCAGGCAAGCCCCGACGTCTCCTACAAGAGTGAGGAATATCACAGGCTCTCGGGAGCAAGAGCAGAGCAGCCAGCTGGCGCACCCGGGCACCGGGCAGCTGGCCAGAAATAGAGGCCAGGCCTATGGCCCCCAGGAGCTCCCTGCCACAGAGGAAAGGCAGGGCCAGATGCCTCCTTGCAAGAGCCCTGTCCCCTGCCTCCCTGTCCCCCTGAGGGCAGAGGCTGTGCACTGCCCTGTGCCTCTTCCTAACCAGCTCCGGGTTAGGATATCTGCCCAGGTGGAGACCCAACAGAGGGCCAAGTGGGGTAGGGAGCTCCTCTCTCACAGTGGAAGTACCATTCCCCCAGGGGCCTAGGCCCAGGCTCTCCCTGCCTTGAGATAACCAGGCTCCGAGGCTGGCACCCTCCCTCCAACCCTGTACCTCAGGCAGAACACAGAGGGTTTTTAGGGCAGTGAAACTATTCTGTAGGATACCATAATGATGGATACACATAATTTATACATTTGTCCAAACCCTAGACTGTACGACCCCAAGAGCGAACCCTGATGTGAACTAGGGACTTTGGATGATAATGACACGTAACTGTAGGTTCATTGTAACAAATGTCCCAAAAGAAATGAAAACATATGTCTATACAACAACTTGTGCAGGAACGTTCATAGCAGTTTTTCTCATGATGGCCAAGAATCGGAAATAGGCCAAATGTCATCTGACAGGCAAATGGATAAACAAATCATGTCATATCCATACAGTGGAATATTACTCAGATATATAAAGGACTATATACTAGTACATGCAACAACCTGTATGAACTTCACAAACTTTATCTGGAGCAAAGCCAGGCACAAATGCACACATCATGGATTTGTCAAACTCTAAAAAAGACAAATCTGGCCTAAAGTGACAAAAAACAGGTCAGTGGTTGCTTGGGGCTGGGTGTGGGGTGTATTGACTGCAAAGGGAGATTTTTGGGTGATGTAAATGTTCTACCTTGATTGTGGTAGTTTGGTAGTTTCACGGGTGGGTATCTGTCAAAACTCATCAAATGTATACTTAATATGGATATGTTTTATTGTGTGTAAATTATACCTCAATAAAGTTGATTTTAATTTAATTTTATTATTTTGTTAATCCTCACCCAAGGATATTTTTTTCCATTGATTTTTTTAGAGAAAGTGGAAGGGAGTGAGGGAGGAGGAGAAAGAGAGAGAGAGAAAGAAACATCAATGTAAAAGACACACATTGATTGGTTTCCTCTGGCATGCACCTGGACAGGGCCAAGGATAGAACCTGCAACCCAGGTATGTGCCCATGACCAGCAGTCAAACCCACAACCCTTAGGTGAGCAGGCTGATGCTCTAACCACTGAGAAACAACAGCCAGGGCTTAATTTTATTTTTCATTGATTTTTAGAGAGAGAGAGCAAGGGAGCAAGAGAGATACATCAATTTGTTGTTCTACTTATTCATGCATTCATTGGTTGATTCTTGTATGTGCCCTGACCAGGGATTAAACCCGCAACCTTGGCGTATCAGGACAAAGCGCTAACCAACTGAGTTACCCAGCCAGGGCCAATAAAGTTCATTTTTAAAAAATCAATTCCGCCCTGGCCGGTTTGGCTCAGCGGTTAGAGTGTCGGCCTGCGGTCCGGAGAGACCCGGGTTCGGTTCCTGCTAAGGGCGCGTGCCTCGGCTGCAGTTTGTCCCCGGCCCTGGTGGGTTGTGTGGGTGGCAGCCACTCGCTGTGTCCCTTTCACATCGATGTTTCTCTCTCTCTCTCTCTGTTCCTCTCTCTCCCTCCCACTCTACCTGAACAAAAAATAGAAAAATGTCCTCAGGTGAGGATAAAAAATAATAATAATAAAAAAAAAATCAATTCCTCAGAAAATCCTTTTCTGATCATGCCCCTCTCAAAGTAGGTCAGCCCCACCCCCAGGGTATGTACACCCTTCACAACCTATATTTTTCTTCTACTGCGTTTCACCGAGTTTGTAGTTATATTTTCATAACGTTTTCTTGTTAACTGCTTCTAGATATGGAACACCAAGAGGTCCTGATCCCATCACTCTGGCTCACCACCATTGCTAGGCACCTGGGACCATGCCTGTACATAGTAGGTGCTCATTTAATAAGCACTCATTTAATAGTAGGAGCTAGTGAATGAAGAGGAAGCAAAGGGAAGAGCAGCAGCCAGATCTGGGCCCCAGCCACAACTGTGGGGCTACAGCTCTGTGGACTGGATGACCTTAGGGCCCCTCCAGTGGGGCCCTGGCTCCTCCTGGGGAAGTTGAGTCTGTGCAATTCTTCGGAGATCTCCAGGAAGGTCTTGCCTTTGGTCTCAGGAAGGAAGAAGCCAGTGTAGATGGCCCCACAGACACAGACAATGAGGAAAGGCACGTAAAGGAAGTAGGACAATCCCTCCTACAGGTTAAAAGAAACCCCGAGACCCAGAATGGCCCCGTTGTGCCCCAAGATGGAAGGCCTCATAACAGGTCTTAAAGAGGGACATGTCGCCCTGGTCGGTTTGGCTCAGCGGTTAGAGCGTCGACCTGCGGTCCTGAGAGACCCGGGTTCGGTTCCCCCTAAGGGCGCGTACCTCGGTTGCAGTTTGTCCCCGGCCCTGGTTGGTTGTGCGGGTGGCAGCCACTCGATGTGTCCCTTTCACATCGATGTTTCTCTCTCTCTCTCTCTGTTCCTCTCTCTCCCTCCCACTCTACCTGAACAAAAAATGGAAAAATGTCCTCGGGTGAGGATTAAAAAAAAAAAGAAAAAAAAAAGAGGGACTTGTCTTTCTTTGCTTAGATAAGTCCCATCCCCTTCAGTCTCAGTCTCCTTGGATGGAGGCCTCCCACCGGGGTTTTCATGCTGACAGAGAAAAAAACTAAGACACCTCCCCCCAGGGGGAGGGGCAGGCCTACCATAATGAAGGGGAACCCCAGCCCAACTGGGAAGAGCAGGGTCCACATGAGCGCCCTGAAGACCATGTAGGCAGCAGGCCGGGCCATCTGGTCAAACAGCTCTGTGGCCAGGATCCCTGTCACTCCAGCTGAAAGGAGGGGAGGGACTGGGGACTGCCAGCCGGAGCTCCTTGCCCTGCCTTTCCCCCACTTTCCCCAGATATGGGAGTAGGAGCCCCTCAGTGTTCTTCCAGAAGCTTCAGTACAGGTGGGGGTGGGGCATGCAGTCAATATTGCATCCACATCCACCCATCTTTCACCCAGAAGTCATGTTCCTTCGGCAAGTCCCAAAGCCCAGAGCCCCTGGAGCCCACTCACCAGGACCAATGCCAAAGCTGAGAATGAAGGCAAAGATGCAGGCCATGGCCAGGTAGGGCGTCCAGGGGAAGCTCTGCAGCAGAGGGGTGGGATGAGGTGGGGATCAGCCAGCACCCAGCCACCCACCCCCCCCATCCCCGCCCAGCTACCTGCAGGCCGAGGGCCACTGTGAAGATGCTCCCTCAGCAAGTCATCAGCAGTATCCCCCAGTCAGCGGCACCCACCGGTCCACCCTCTCAGTGATCATGTACTGCAGAGGAAAGGGGGCCCCAGTAACTGGCCTGGGCACCAGGGCCATGGTCCCCTTGGTTTGGGGGTGGGCAGAGGGGAGGGGCTTCACGAGGAAGCAGATGGTGGGGTAGGGGGCAATTTATTACTTCAGGAGATTTAAGAGACTAATTTCTCAGAGGTCACTCAGAATAGTGGTTGGAGTGCTCAGCCAACAGTAGGTGCTCAAGAAATGCTGGCTAACTTGCCTCATTTGAACAGAGTGAGCTGGTGTGGGAAATGGCTTAAAGAAGAGGACTGCAGTCCTCAGGGTGTTAGCACGCCTGGTCCCCCCTCTTCCGGGTCTGGGGGAGGAGCAGCCCAGAGCCAGACTCACACTGACAAAGGCTGTGAACAGCTCGCAGCACCAGTCCGGATGATGGCATCCTGGACCTTCTCCTGGGGGACTCCTGCCCCCCGGAACACGGAAGAAGCATAGGCGTGCATCTGGGGAGGTGGGCACACGGCTGGCTCTGGGGCACTGGCTCCCTGCAACCTCCAGTGGTTTCCAGGGGCCTGCAGCACACAGCCCCTGAGCCAGGGGGCGTGGGGGGAGGGAGGGCAGGGAGGGGACCTCACCGAATTGTTCCCGCAGAGCTCCATGGCACTGCTCAGGACTAGGAGGCTCATCACCTGCCTCCGCGGGGTGCCATCCTGGAACAGCTCCCACTGTGATGGGCTCGCAGGCCCTGGCAGGCATCGCGCTCCTCCTCCTCCAGTTCTGCCACCTCCAATGCCAAGTCCTCAGTGCCCCGCAGCCGCTGCAGTGCTGGGACAGAAGGGGCTGTTGAGCTCTCTCTCCCCTGGCCTCTCTGGTCCCCCACAGAGCTTCCCATCACCAATTTCCCTCTCTCCGGGCCCGTGGTCAGATGGGGTGATCTTCCTGGCCCTGTTATTTCACAGCATCATGGACCAGCAAAGGCTTTAGAATCTCAGGATTCTGTGGATCCATCAGACAAAACATGGCAATTGTGGTAAACTGCCATCATCATCCCCAATTCTTCACTCTCCCCCTGTATCCATGATTTTGCAGTTGCTTTCACTAAAGAAGCAAGTACATGTCCCTTGGCTCTGGGCTTGGCCATGTGACTTGCTCTGACCAATAGGATGAGTCTGTAGGGAGGGCATACCCGCTGTTCCAGCCCAGGCCTTAAGGGACCTTGCTCATTTCTCCAATTTTTTTTTTTTTTTTTTATCCTCACCCGAGGACATTTTTCCATTTTGTTCAGGTAGAGTGGGAGGGAGAGAGGGGAACAGAGAGAGAGAGAAACATCGATGTGAAAGGAACACATCGAGTGGCTGCCACCCGCACGACCAACCATGGCCGGGGACAAACTGCAACCGAAGTACATGCCCTTAGCGGGAACCGAACCCGGGTCTCTCCAGACCGCAGGCCGACGCTCTAACCGCTGAGCCAAACTGGCCAGGGCGGGACCTTGCTCATTTCTATTGCTCTTCTCCCACTATCATAAAAACTTGCTAGGCTAGCCCACTGGTCTCAGGAGGAGCAGAGATGGCCCAGCTGGTATCATAACTAGATCAACCAATGCCCAGTTGACCTGCGTGAGTGACCAAAAGGAGCAGACCCAGCCCGACACCAGCGAACCCCAGAGAACTCACAGAGGCTTTTTTATAACCCAGTAATTCTCCATCTGCTAGAAGAAGGAACCTCTCCTGGGTTCCTTGAACCCAAGTTGTTTTTGCAAAAATTCTTGAAGAGGAAGGTATGCATCAGCCATGACCACAAGGGTATTGACCATGAGCTTCACTAATCAGGAGATGCCAGACGGGGCAATGAGACATTCAAGGCTGGGGTCTAGTAAATGTTAAGAAATATAAAATAAACAACTTGTACAGCTACTAACTGCTGATATCTGCTTCTGTACACGTAGCTTGCTTGCTCTGCTAAACTCTTGAATAACTCCTGTCCTATATAAGCAACCCTCCCCCTGAGCTCGGGGCTGCAGTTCTCCTCGGTGTAGGTTGGCTGCAGTCCCTGTGCAGGTAATAAAGCTCCTAATATTCAAAATTACTTTGTGTCCGAGTGAGGTTGATTCTCCTGGATTACAACAGCTTGAGCTATGCAGTTGCTTCTTCTGTTGGCCACTGAAATGCAGCGATGATTAGGTAGAAATAGACAACTGATAAATAACTTGGTACAAGGAGTGGCAGCTACCATAACTAGGACCTGTGACCCATGGTACTTGTTCCAAGACCAGACAGAAAATGGCTGGACGAATGAAAACCCAAGTGCATAGTGCAGTAGCGTGGAAGGAAAAACAGACCTACTGAAGTTCTGGACACGGGGGGGAAGAGATCTCCAAGTACTGAAAGCATAACCTGGCTGCTTTAGCTGAGTATTCTAAGCTTACTTTATAAAAAAAAAGACATGAGCACCAAAAAAAGACCTTCAGAGGGAACAAAATTTAATTAAATTTAACTTGAACTTATTCCGAACTTGCTAGGGTAGTTCAATAAAACAAACAAACGAACAAACAAATAAACAAACAAAACCGTTTCTTATTTCTAGCCTCTCCAGCTAGCAAAATGTCCCAAACTAAGTCACAGCCTGAGAGCAAAGATTAAATCCAGAGCCTGCCGGTGAGCCCTAGACTCAGGGGAAAGATCAATTCAGGGTGTGGCTTAAGGTGGTGTCTCATAGACCCTCATGGCTGAAAAAAGAAGTCATTACAGGGGCTTCGGGGTACTGGTCTACAGCGGCCTGGCGTGCCCCAAATTCCAGCAATCAGGTCTTAGGAGAGAAGTATATCTGAAAAAGAATCGTGCGTGTGGCTTTTGGGCACATAAATCAAATACACAGAAAACTCACACTATTTTTGAGAAAACGGTACTGACAAAATTTTTGCCAGCCTGGATGAAAAGAGACTGAGACGATTTGAAATGTAAAGGCTTCTGTGCCCCAACTTTCTACAGGTACATTTCCAATGCACTCTTCAGAAGGTGTCAAAGGAGGCGTTGGGAAAGGAAGGACATCTTGGGGGGCAGAAGCAAGAACCTAAGGAAACCATGATCTGGGGAGCCCGTGGGCAGAGGAACATTCCCACGCCCACGGCAGGGGAATCTGGCAGCGGTTTCTCAGGGGCACGTCAGTATTGCTTCCTTGCCTCCTCCTCCTTTGAAATGAAGGTCGGTTCTAGCTCCACTGTCCCACTTGTCACCACTGAGTTCAGAAAGAGTAGAAGACTTGTGTCTTTAGCTCCTAGGTCTCTGGATCAGGAGAAGGCACTTATAGCCTTGATGTGATCTAAGATCCCGGACTTCAGCCTGTGCCATGACTGAATAAGACTTTGGGGGTGGGGGTCCCAGAGGGCAATAAGCATGTTTTACAGAGGGGAGGGACGTGATGGCAAACAGAAGAATACGTTAGTGGGCCCTGCCTTCATCTCCCTAAATCTAGGCGCTCTGCCATGTGAGAGGATACGCCATTGGCTTTCCCATCCTTTTTTATTGGTATGTGCCCCGGCGAAAACCGAACCCGAAAACCGAACCCCGGGACTCTCCAGTCCGCAGGCCTCCGCAGGCCGATGCTCCAACCGCTGAGCCAAACTGGTCAGGGCTCCCATCCTTTTTATTTTTTTTTATCCTCACCCGAGGACATTTTTCCATTTTTTGTTCAGATAGAGTGGGAGGGAAGGGGAGGGAGGGGGAGGGAGGGAGGGAGGGAGGGAGAGAGAGAGAGAGAGAGAGAGAGAGAGATCTACGTAAAAGGGACACATTGAGTGGTTGCCACCCGCACAACCAACCAGGCCTGGGGACAAACTGCAACCGAGGTACGTGCCCCCAGCAGGAAAAGAACCCGTGTCTCTCTGGACCGCAGGTGGACGCTCTAACCGCTGAGCCAAACCGGCCAGGGCTGGCTTTCCCATCCTTTAACTTCAGGTCCAGAAACGTGACTCTTGGGTCATGGGATATTAATGGGCATGAGGGGACCAAAGGTTTGGAAAGTGCTTAATCAATTGGATTTGTTTTCTTGTGCCTCTGCCAGCACTGTAATAGGAGCATTCCTGGGCCAGTGGCTGGTGTCAAGAGGGAGGGGAGAGGCAAGTGTAGCAGAGCTGACCTGCTCAAGCCCAGACCGCCTGGCCTGGCCGATTCTCAGCTGACCCATGACACCAGAGCCACCCAGCTAAGAGCCACAGCGCTGTGCAGCCCGCCCTGCGAGCAAATGAGTAGAAGATGCAGTAAATGATTGTTTTTTGTTTTTTCCAATCCTCACCCAAGGATGTGTTTATTGATTTTTAGAGAGAGAGGAGAGGGGTGGGGAGAGAGAGACAGAAACATCAGTTTGTTACCTTCTGTACATGCCTTGACTGGGGATCAAACCCACAACCTAGGTATGTGCCCTGACTGGGAATCAAACCCGCAACGCTTTTGGTGTGACGGATGATGCTCCAACTGAGCCACCCAGCCAGGGTAAATGATTGCTGTTCTAAGCCAGAGATTTGGGGCATCATTCCTGCAGCCATAGCTAATGGATAAGACCACAAGCACCCAGCTGGCACTGGGCCCATGAAGTCTTCCTTGGTGTTTCATCTTGCATGGGGGCAGGGGCTCTTCTCTGCACCACCCTGGGGGTCCTGGATGGCAGGGGCTGGGTCTGCTCCATCCTGCTGCCCTGGCACTCAGGACAGCCCCTTGAGAAAGCGTTTTGAAAGGACCGATACATGGCACAAAGAGAGGGACAACTTTCTCTGAATAATGAAACCTGAGACAAAAGACCCACATGCTCTGGGCAGAGGTGCGCATTGGTCAAGAGTGGTCTGGGAACCTGAGGTCAAGGACTCACCTTTCAGGCAGCCCTCAGTGTCTCCACGGTCAATGAGGAGGTAGCGTGGGCTCTCGGGGAGCAGGGGCAGAGAAGCCAGTTGGGGCACCCCCGGCACCAGGCAGCTGGCCAGCAGCAGGGGCCAGGCCTGAGGGCCACCCAGGAGCTCCCTGGAGAGGCAGAGGAGAGGCCAGGCCAGACACCCCTTGCCAGAGCCCTTTCCCCTACATGCCTGCCTTCCCCCTATCCACCTGCTCCCCACCCTCTGTCCTCCGCCTGTCTGCCCTTTTGAGGGCAGAGGGTCTGCATTTCTCTATACTTCTTCCTAACCGGCTCTGGGTCTGACACTGAGATCCCTCCCACCCAGGTAAAGACCCAAGATAGGGCAGAGCTGTGGCCCCACCTGATCCCTCACAATTCCTCTTTGCAGCACTCCAGGCTTTGCCATCTCCTCTCTTTTCTGGGATGACCAAGACATGCTCCCCTTTAAAAGCCCGGCCCCCTGCCCTGGCCAGTTTGGCTCAACAGTTAGAGCGTCAGCAGAGGACCAAAGAGTTGTGGGTTCAATTCCGGACAAGGGCACACACCTTGGTTGCGGCTCAGTCCCCAGCCCTGGTCAGGGCCGTACAGGAGGCAACCAATCAATGTGTCTCTCTCACGTCAATGTTTCTCTCTCTCTCTCCCTCTCACTCTGTCTAAAAATAAATGGAAAAATATCCTTGTGTGAGGATTTTTTTTTTTTGGTACGTGTCCCTAGCAGGAACCAAACCCGGGTCTGGTTCACAGGCTGACACTCTAATCGCTGAGCCAAACCAGCCAGGGCGATATTTTTTTTTTAATTAAAAAAAGAAAAATTCCATGGGAAAATATCCTCGGGTGAGGATTAACAAATAATAAAAATAATAAAAATAATAATAAAAGCCTAGCCTGGCTGATTTGGTTCAGCGGTTAAAGCATCGGCCTGGGGACCAAAGGGTCACAGGTTTGATTCCCAGTCAAGGGCACATACCTGGGGTGCAGGTTCAATCCTTGGCCCCTGTTGAGGTCATTTGGGAAGCAACCAATTGATGTGTCTTTTTCACATCAATTTCTCTCTCTCTCTCTTTCCCTCCCTCCCTTCCACTCTCTCCCCGCCCTGTCTTCTACTCTCTCTAAAAATTAATGGGACCCTGGCCAGTTTGGCTCAGCGGTTAAGCATCGGCCTGCAGTCCAGAGAGACCCGGGTTCAGTTCCCGCTAAGGGCATGTACCTCAGTTGCAGTTTGTCCCCGGCCCTAGTTGGGTCATGCCGGAGGCAGCCACTCGATGTGTCCCTTTCACGTCGATGTTTCTCTCTCTCTCTCTTCCTCTCTCTCCCTCCTACTCTATCTGAACAAAAAATGGAAAAGTAGCCCTGGTCGCTTTGGCTCAGCGGTTGGAGCGTGGGCCTGTGGACCAGAGTCCTGGATTCGGTTCCCGCTAAGGGGCACATACGAAAAATAATATTGCATGCCAGGCCAGTGTGGCCCAGGGGTTGAGCATCCACCCATGCACCAAGAGGTCAGGGCACGTGCCTCGGTTGTAGATCCGATCCCCGGTAGGGGGCATGCAGGAGGCGGCCAATCAATGTTCTCTCTCAGCGACGTTTCTCTCTCTCTCTCTTCTCTCTAAAAAAATCAATAAAGAAAAAACCAAAAATAATAATATTGCAAAGCGGCTGGTGCTGACTCCCAGCGACTCTGCCCTCACTCCCAGGCCGGCGGCTCTTCTGTTCCCTACACCTGCCGCTGGAGCGAGGGACATCCCAGGGATTCAGTCTTCAGATGCTCAGGGGCCCATTCAGCTCGCCCCAGGCTCGGCTCCTTCCGGTTTCCCGTAATTTGCCCGACGCCACGAGGGGGCGACAAAGCCCACGCTCCGAAGGATTCTGTACCGCCGATGCCACCGCCTCCGGAGGGTTTCGTTGTGGCCGCGGAACAAAGAGGCCTGTGCCCGTGCTCCCCCAGGTGCAGTGCTACTCCCTTGGAGGGCTGCCCCCACAGCTCCTGAACACCCAGTTCTGACCTGTACCCCACCCACCCTGGGCTCAGGTGCCCCCGCTCCACCCGCCCAGGGTGATTTCACTTCCTCTGTTCAAGTAGCCAGCGGATTTTGCTGATCTCTCTAAAATCAGTAAAAATATATATTTTTAAACTTAAAAAAAAAAATCACAATATCTTACATCCATTGATGATTTTTGCCTCCCAGCTCCCAAGTGGGCTAGTTGGCCTGGCCCACCATGCCTTTGCCATGCTGTGTGCCTTCCCTCCTGCTCTATAAGGGGTGGGACGGGGGTCTAGGTAGGTGCATTCCCCTACATCTAGGGTTCAAGCTGGACCCCAAGGCCCCTGGCATCTCCTCCAGCCTCAGCACAGCAGCAGGCTGGTCCATCACTGGGGTGTGGTGGGTAGGCCCCTACTGCACATTGGGGTACCTAGCACCTGACCACCAGTAGGCTGAGTTGCTCTGAGGCTGCCTCTCTAAGCCTCAGTTTTCTCCTCTGTCGCCTGTGGCTCATAGGAAGTGCTGCAGCCTGTTGCTCAATGTGCCAGGCGGTTCAGAGGCCCCTTCCATTTGGACTGGCATCTCTGCCGCACGCCAGGACTCCCAAGGTGGCATTTTGCTTGAGCTCAGGAGGCTTGATGACCTTGGACACCAGGCTACTAGAGTGGGCAGTGGGCTACCACCAAGCCCAGCAGCCTGGCTGCAGCTGACACCAAAAGGGCTCCTGCAGTTCTAGCACATACGTCCTCTCTCTGAGCCTCCACTTCTCACCTGTAAATGAGGACATCATAACCTGCCCACTTCGTAGGCACTGTGTCCTCAGCCCCTGTGTGCCTGTTGACCCCCCCAGCACTAGGCATCCAGAGGGCAGGCACAGGCCCTCTCTTGATCCTCAGACAGAACCTACCCTGGGGTGGGTGAACATGAGGGGCTGCAGCCTAGCTGATATCTTCAGCCTAGGCAGGAGTGCCGAGGGCTAGGCTCTGGGGCAGCCCATGCAGACTCCACCCAAAATCCTGCTTTGCCCTCCTCGACCTCAGAGCTGGCATTTACTCCAGTTTTGGGTCACATTTCCAACTTAATGATTCAAAAGAAAGGAAGAAACTCAACCTACAACCAGCTGAGGCAGCCCCTCCTGACCACTCTTTGATATTTGAAGACTGAACAATGGGGCAGATTTCGGATAGGAGACTTGAAATCATCTTAATTAGAAGGAAAGAATGTCCTCGTGGTTGGCTGTTCTAAAAATACAGCTGCTCCCACATCTGGAGGGGAAGAGGGAATGGTGGTAGGCCAGAGACTGAAGCGCTGATGCCTGCATTCCATGGTAGGGGGAGGCCCCTCCCAGCAGGGCCCCAGAAAGGGGAGAAGGAAGGAGATCAAAGCAGCCAGTCCCCTGTGGATGGGCCACCTGGCGAATCTTTGGGATGGAGCTGAACAGGCAGCCCATCCCTGCTTGGGTCCACCCTCAGCCCTTCCCCAACCTCCTCCACACCCCAACCTCAGTTTCCTCATCTACACAGAGGGGACACTCAGGGTCCTGGTTAATGCATGCTGGCTCTTTTACCAACCTCTGCCTGACCTGGGCACAGCAGGCATCCAGCCTCAGGCTTCAGACCAGGGAAGTAATTTTTTCTGGATTTTATGATCTGGGGCAGTATTTGTCAGCTTTTATTAAACTTGACGTGTTTTGTTCGCATTCTTATTCTAAGCAAATATTTATTTATTTATTTATTTATTTATTTATTTATTTATGTTAATCCTCATCTGAGGATATTTTTCCATTGATTTTTAGAGAAAGTGGAAAGGAGGGAAGGAGAGAGAGAGAAACAGAAACATCAATGTGAGAGAGACACATCAATTGGTTGCTTCCCACACAACCCTGACTGGGCTGGGGATCAAACCTGAGACCCAGGTATGTGCCCTTGACAGGAATTGAGTCTGCGACCTTTCAGTCTAAGGGCCAACACGCTAACCACTGAGCAAGCAGCCAGCGTGCAAATATTCACTTTAGTACCTAATCTTGCATTTATAATTTTGCATTTTTATTTTTTTTCTTTATTTTAGAGAGAGAGGAAGGGAGAGGGAGAGAGCGATAGAAACATCAATGAGAGAGAACATCTATTGGCCGCCTCCTGCATGCCCCCCACTGGGGATTGGGCGCACAACCCAGCCATGTGCCCTGACCAGGAGCCAAACCGGTGATCTCTTGGTGCATGGGTCGACGCTCAACCGCTGAGCCACACCGGCAGGGCTAATTTTGCATTTTTCTTAGAGGCCCTCAATACCTCCAGAAAGTGAAAGGCATGCGAGGCTGGGAGAATGTCTTGAGCAAATTGTGCAGGTAGGAATCCCGGTGGTATCACCAGGGGAGAACAAAGAAGCCTGGGTTCTAGTCCCAGTGCACTTGTATGAGCTTCCTGTCCCAGGGGCTGGGCAAGCACCTGGCATGGGGAGTACCCATCCCGGATATGTGTGAGCAGGGCCTGGACTGCTTGGCTGACATGTTGGTGATGAACACCAGGTGGGAGGTGAGTGAACCCTGGACCTTTCTGAGCCTCTCCATCCACCTGCCCAGGGCTCTGAGTCACTAGTCCTGGGCAGGGAGGGGCTCCCAGAGTGGTGGCCCCTGATATTCCAGGTCCCTGCCTAGCTACAGACCAGAACTACCTGATGATCTGGCCAGCAGGTGATGAGTAGGAAGACTGTAGGATAGTGTGGCCTCAGGTTCCACATGGGTACCCCTGGGCCGCACTGCCCAGACCCGTGTGCGACCCCCACATTTGCAGCCCCCACGTGTGCAGCCTTCACGTGTGTGGCCCCTGTGTGTGCAGCCCCCACGTGTGCAGCCTTCATGTGTGTGGCCCCTGCGTGTGCGGCCCCCGCGTGTGCAGCCTTCATGTGTGTGGCCCCTGTGTGTGCGGCCCCCACGTGTGCAGCCTTCACGTGTGTGGCCCCTGCGTGTGCGGCCCCCGCGTGTGTGGCCTCCGCGTGTGCAGCAGACTTGCGGTCTTCTCACCGTGTCTCACACTTCTGTCTTTGGGACCTCTCATTCTGGCCCTGCCACTTGACTGAGTCCGCCAAACAGATAAACCTGCTTCTCCCAAAACACAGCCCGCTGCCGTGCTGGGCTCAAAAATAGCTGAGGTGGGGAAGGAGGAGGCCCAGTAGACACTGGGACTCCAGGGACAAGCTGCAGTGGCTCTGACATTCTGGCAGTGGCCACAGAAGGAAGCAGGGACGGGGGCAGGCGCTGAGGACTGTGAGACAGGCACAGACCGGGGCTCACCTGGTAGCTGGAGTTGGGAAGGAACCATCTTGTCGTCGAGGGTCAGACAAGGAGCAGCACACCCAGGCTGCTCAGCAGGGGAGCATCAAGGGAGCAGAGTGAGAGACACTCCAGGAGCCCAGACGTGGCAGAGAAATTTGGCCTTCAAACCACAGCTGAGGCTGCATGGTGCTGGCTGGTTGGTGATGCCCTCCATGGGCTCCGGCAGGTGGTGAATCCCTTCTGTGACCCAACAATCGGGTGGAAGCAACTTGCCATCTCCCCACCAGCCCCTTCCATCACTCCTCATGGTGGCAAAGCCAGGACTGGCACACTGGTGTCTTGGTACCTCTTTAGCTGTGTGTCCTCAAATATGTTACTTAACCTCTCTGAACCTGTTTTCTCATTTGGAATAGTAAGCTACTTTGTACGGTGTTGGCCAGGCTTAAGTAGGGTCAGTAAAACCTGTGGTGCAGTCACTGCACACCTGTTATCACCATAGGGACTAGCTCTAAGCATCCCCACTCCACAGTGGCCCTTCCTCACCCAGGAGACAAGAGTTCATTCCTGCCTTTGCTCAAGCTATTCTCCCTGCCTAGCATCTCTCTCCTCTTTCCATCCCATCGCTGTCTTTGTCAAGAGCCCTCTTGCCTGGCAGCCCCTCAGAGGGCCTATGGTTCTTTGTCCTTGGATTGCTCACCGGTCAAGCTCACCTCCCTGCATAGTGAGAGTCCGAGTCTCCTTGGCCAGAGGAAGAGCTCCTGCAGGACGGGGAGCCATCACCTCCCTCCATGCCCGTCAGGCTCCCATGGGTGTTCCTGATCACAGGCAAGTGGGAGCTCGGGATCAGGACACAGGCTTGGAAGAAAGTCCTTCCCTGGTGCATGCTGGCTCACAGGCATTTGCTCATTCCTAACAGGCTGGCCATGGAGGGGGAGGCCAGCTATGACTGTCACAGAACCCCTTCCTGGAAATCTCAATTGTCCCCACTGTAGACCAGAGTATAACCTTCAAGACAGAGGAAACTTTGTAGACGGACTCTTCCAACTGGCCCATTTCACCAGAGAGAGTAGAGAATGGCCAGGGCCCACCCCCAGCCTAAGGCTGCAGATCCAGCCCTGGAGTCCAGGTCTGAGGCCTGCCTGTGTCCGGCACTGCAGCAGACACCAGAGAGAACATGGCACAGAGTTTCTGTGGCCATGACAAGAGCCACAGCGGGCAAGGAGCTGGGAGAACTGGGCTGGGGTGGCCAGGGAGGGCTTTCCTGAGGCAGTCATGTCCACACAGCACCCCAAACTCGGCATGTCCCAAACCAGTGGGTGTGCTCCCTCCCAAGCCGGGCCCTCTCCCGTGTCTCAGCCTTTTGTCAATAGCTAAAGTCTGTGGTTTCCACCTCCGTGACCCATTCATTCCCTTTCTGTCACATGCCTGCCACTGCAGGCCACTGCTATCCTCCACTCTGATCACTGCTTACACTCTTGTCCCCTTCTTCTTCCAAAGAGCTGCCATCTGATACTAACCTCACCACCATACTGAAACTCTCCTGCGGCTCCCCACTGCCCTGGGACAGACCGCAGCCTGCGCGGCCTTTTTGGGCCTGGTCCCAGCCCTCTGCAGCCTCTCATTGCACCCAGGTCCTTCCTGCCCCTGCCTTCCCTGACCCTTCATGCCACCTCAGGACCTTTGCAAAGGCTATTCCCCTGTTTTGTTTGGCTAATGCCTACTCAGCCTGTGACTCCTTCCTGCCCATCCCATCGAGAGATCCACTAACTCCTACCAAATCCCAGAGGGCCAGGCCAGGTCGCTCACTCTGCTGCCCAGGCCTGAAGCAGCCCACCTGGATGGTTTGTTATTCTTACACTCTGGCCATGAGCAGCTGCGGCCGAGTGGGTTCCGGATTCCATGCTAAAAATACCCCATGACCTAGACAGGAAGGGCCAACGGGGATGCAGCTGCTCTTGGGAGGGGCTGGCTGAAGCTGCACCAGGGTCCCACCCACTGTGGTTTTGGGGGTCCATGTGCTGGAAGGGAGTGGGCAGAGAGCTCACAGCCCCTGAGGAAAGGCCCTGGACAAAGGATGCTCAGGGCCAGAAACAGATACCATGTGTTGTCAAAAGGAGAATGCAGCTGCCTCCAAAATGCACACAAAAATACTCACCTGTACCCTGGCTGGTGTGCTCAGTGGTTAGAGTGTGGGCCCACATATGGAAGGGTCATGGGTTCAATTCCTGGTCAAGGGCATGTACCTGAGTTGCAGGTTCAATCCCTGGCCCCAGTCAGGGTGCCTGCGGGAGGCAACCAATCAATGTGTTTCTCTCACATCAATGTTTCTTTCTCTCTCTCTCCCTCCCCCCTTCCATTTTCTCTAGAAAGCAATGGAAAAAAATATCCTCAGGTGAGGATTAACAACAATAAAAAAATACTTTGTTTCTGATTCTTCTGGTTTATTACCACAGGCATGTGTTGCCTTTGAAATAAAATACAAGTGATACCTCGGTTCTCGAACATAATTCGTTCCAGGAGGACGGTCGAGAACCGAATTGTTCGAGAATCGAAGCAATGAAACCAATAGGAAAGCGTGACTCCACAAAGCGTGACTCTCTCTCTGCACTCACACTGATGACGCAAGCAAGGCGCGCTGGGCCGAAAGAACGCCATTGGGCTCAACTCGGCTCATCTCGGAAGTTCGAGTTCCAAATATTTGTTCGGATTCCGAGACAAAAGTTTCTCGAATCTCCATTTGGTCGAAAACCGAGGCGTTCGAGAACCGAGGTATCACTGTACATTTAAAAATTACTCTGATCCCTTCAGGGAGGGCTTCCTGGAATAGGGGGAATTTCCACCACCCTCCTTTGCTCTCCTCTTTTAACAGAACATGTAGGCTGGTAGGGAGGAAAATGAATGAATGAAGGAGCCAGAGATCTGGGGCAGTCCCAGAAGCAAGAGGCAGAGGCCTCAAGGTGGTGGCCATGAGGTGTGTAGGAGGGGAGGGAAAGGACTAGAGAGTTCCATGGGGGCATCAGCTTCAGTGTGGGGCTGGGAGTGGGGCAGGGATGGCCCCAGGTTTCTGGATAGTCACTGGCTGGTGAGGGTCTCTCCTAGTGTGTGAGGCCAGTCAGGAGGAATACAGGCTCGGGGGGCACTCAGGAGGTGCTGTACTGCCTGTAGGCACTGGAAAAATCTGGACAGGGGATTTAGGAGTCCTCTGGGTGACTCCAGACCTGGGGATCCCGGGGCTCCTTGCTCTGCAGCACCAAGCAGCTTCACAAGGCCAGAGAGGCAGCTTGGGAGCGGGGCCCATTGTCGCCTTGGCCCTCCTCCTGCCACAGCCCTCAGCACAGGAGAGAGAAGGTGGGCCCAGCCGGCAGGGCTTAGGACAGATAACTAAATGAGCATCTAGCACACTGCCTGTCTTCATCCCTAGGCCCCTGATAACATGCGGTACCCAGGGCTTATCTCCATAAGTAACTGTCTAAAGGTGCCAAAGGGTCAGAGGAGAAGTGGACCTGGTGTCTCCAGAGTTTCCTGTCCTGGACCTGGAGACTGGACAGGAAAATGCTGGATTGAGCCCCAGGCCCTGCTCTGCCTCCTACTGGGCCTCAGTTCCCCCATCTGAGGATATCCTGAAGCTCTGAGAAGGGAGAATCTGCAGTAGAACCCAGCCATTGCTCCCTGGACGTCTGGCCCAGCTGGCTGCCCCCACCCTGGGCTCCCAGCCTCCCAGGAATGTGTTTCTCCACCCCCAAACTGGGCGCCTGCCTTATCGGCCCAGTCTAAGGAGAGACAGACGGCCCTGTTGACAATGACAGCCCCTCCTGTTAGCCCCAGCCTGACCCTGAGTGGAGGGCCAGCCAGAGCCTGCTAAGTGCCTGGAGGCAGGAATACCTCCCCTTCCCCACGCAGACAAGAAACCCGACCTCCCTCACTGGCTCCTTCATGACAGGCAAGTGCCCGCCCTGGCGTCTGAGGCCCTGGATCCCCGCCCTTGATGGCATCTACTCCGGTCCGGATCACCTTAAACATGACCTTGGCAGGCCTCGCTGGAAAAAGAAGGCTGGCTGAGGGGGCTCCCTGAGCCTGCTCCCATCACCCAACCTCCCACTCCTGCTGTACCAGCCAGCTCTCTCCTCACTCCTGAACCAAACGGACATCTCCTTCAGTGCTCCCAGCCTCTCCCTCCCTTCCCTTCTCACCCGCAGTGGGGTCTCCTTGAGCCACGCCCCAGGGGACCCTCCTAGTGCCCTCATGGGTCCCTCCTTCTCTCGGGATCCACCTGAGATAACTTTCTCAGCTGGTTCTCACCCATTCCAGTCAGCTCCGTGACCTTGGGGGCCTGTCCAGAGTGTCCCTCCTCTTCCACACTTATGTCTAAGGATGAGCTCCCCACACTGGTAAAGGCACATGGGTCTGGCCACCTTCCTTCCCCTCATGCCCACTATTATCCTGGCCACCAGGAACCTTGGCATGGCTGTATCCAAAAGTCCCTTCCCAGACTCTGGGGACTTCTCACTGCTTTGCTCCTGAAGCTCTTTCCTGGCTTGGCTCCTGTCCAACTCCCACACCCCCAGCCTCCTGGGCTGGGTCTGCCTCCCTCCCTGCCTAGGCCTGGCCTCTTCTTTTATCAGTCTAACCTTGCCCCTTGGACACCTCACACAGGCCCAGGGCTACAGATGCCATTGATGTACTAATGAGTGATAACTCACATTTAGATCACTTGCCTGACCTCTTCCCTAACACCACATTTGGATTTTTCCAGGCAGATGTCATACAAACTCAATGAGGCCAGAACAGACTCCAATGACTTGCTAAGTTGGGGGTGGAGGGTCATGTAGTGGGCCCCATTTTCCTCGAGCATTCACCATCTCGGGAAAGGTCACCATCTTCCATCCACCTGTGGTTCAGGCTTTGAAATCACCCTTGATGCCTCTCTCACAGCTCTGTCCAGTCCGCCAGCAAACCCACATCCTGCCTCTCCTTAACCTCAGAATGCACTCTGCCCGAGCCACTTAACATCCTGCAGCCTCCTCCTGCCCACTGATTCCTCTGGCAGTCTACTGTCCTCACAACAGCCACAGAGATTTTTTAAAAAATCCTCACTGGAGGATAATTTTACATTTATCTTCAGTTAGAGTGGGGGGGGGGGGGAGAGAGACATCGATGTGAGAGAGACACATGGACTGGCTGCCTCCCGCACGACCCTGACCAGGGCTGGGGACTGAACCACAACCAAGGTGTGTGCCCTTAACTGGAATCAAACCCATGACTCTGTCCGCAGGCCCACATTCCAACCTCTGAGCCAAATGAGACAGGGTGAACTTTTTTTTTTCTTAAAAATTTTTATTTATTGATTTTGGGGAGAGAGGAAGAGAGGGAGAAAAATAGATATTTGTTGTTCCATTTATTTATGCATTCATCAGTTGCTTTTTGTATGTGCCCTGACTGGGGATCAAACCAGCAACCTTGGCATATTAGAGGATGCTGTAACCAACTGATACCCAGCCAGGGTTAGCCACACGGATCTTTTAAACGTGACCAAGCAGCATCTCTTCACTGAGACTTCGCAGACAACCCCATCCTACATGGGGTTCACTACCAGCCTCTCCAACCCCCACTGTCCGTTATTTCTGTCAGCGCACTGTCCTGTGAACACTTGCTCTCATATTAGCACAGACCTATCACTGCTTATCTCCTCCGTAACAAACAAGGGACAGTCTTGTTGACTGCTGTATATACAACATCCAGAACAGTGCCCAGCACACAGTAGGTGCTTAATAAACAGTTGACTTTCTTCATTAGAATGAATAAATGGAGTTTCTCTTTTCCACTAAACTAATGAGGCTCTTTCCAGCCCATCCACTTGCTCCAATCAATCTTGGCACTCTCAGG